CCAGAGTATTCCCAGTTTTCAGAAAAACACTCCTTTGCATGTGGTAGATGCCCAAGGATTATCTGTTCAATTTATAAATAAATTAAATGAGGTGACTCAAATAAAGTGGTTAACTCTGTGTCTGCAACTTAGTGACAGGAAGTTAGTGTTTATAATATTTTTTAGATGAAGGAGGAAAACAAGAGGAACTTGTGACTTCACAGATGGGAAAGAGAAGGAAAGTTAGCAAGTGCTCCTCGCCTTGGCATCACAATTATTCCTGTTGTGGGGATAGTATCACACGGGTGGAGTAGATGAAGGGGCATGAGAAAAGGGATCTGCAAAACCGAGGAATGAGCCAGAGAGGACACAGTTGCTTGGAATGTTTAAGCCTCCTTCTCTCAGCCTCATTTTGGAGGCATCTGGGGAGTGAAAGAGTCAGAGCGGAGTCCTGAGACCTCTGGTTCCACACAGGGCCACCACTACCTGGAACCGGACATCTCATGCAGAAGGCAAAGTACAAAGCAAAACCAAGAGAGATCAGGGACAGAGGTGACCAAACAAAACAGTACCACGTTGGCACATTAAGACTCACTGAGTTACATGGTGTGCTTGGGATGGGAAGGTTTCTTTTAAAAAACCTTAATGTATTTTAAAGGACTGGGTGATCATAGCAGACTAGAGGGCTTGCAACCTTCTGGCAACTGATGTTAGGTTTCCCTCCCCTCCCTTTTTAAAATAGACCTGTCCTTCTCATTAGGGGTCTGTGCCCCTGAAGGCAGAGTGGACTCTGCTGACCCTCCATTCTCAGTGCACACAGGTGCTCAGTGCACTGAATTCCTGGCAACGCACCACTGAACTCACACAGCCTCAGTGCGTCTGTGCTCTTTAATCTCATAACCAGCCAGGGAGGTAGTTGGCGTTATAATCCCTATTTTAGAGACCAGGAGTAGGGAGTAAAGTCAACTAGCTGTATGTGGCCAAGCTGGATTTGGACCTGGGCAGCGTCATTCTCAGTTTGCTTGTTTCTCTGTGTCGTCAGGCTCTGGGATTTATCCCTTGGCACTTTGCTTTTACAGTCATTGTATGGCATGAAATAAAGGCTAATTTTCTGCTTCTCTCTTCTTGTACCTGCTAATTTTGGTGACTTACGACTGCAAAGCATAGGAAAATAAAACAACTCCCCCCAAACAATAAATTACTATAGTTCACACTATTTCACCTTATTTAATTACAGAACATTTTTTTGCCTTATGATGTCAAAGTCAGAATCGTATGTGTCTTACACGCGTCCATACAGTTAAACTTTACCACCAGAGGTTGGGGTGATTCTATGTGTCTAAATGTCTGTACACACAGATACACAAAATACGGCTCCAAAAGCCTGGGCACTCCTGGTATAGGGCAGTTTTCCAAAGGAGATAACAGAAATTCTATCTTCTAAAACTCAACCCAGCAGTTCCAAGAATGCAAGAAACCCCAAGAATAAAAGCTGCTTTATTCAACAGGGGACTCAAATGGTCTCATGAGCCTCCTAATTTTTTAAGTGACAGAAGTGCAAACATTAAATATCATCTAACTGACGCCTTTTGATTACACAGAAGAGAAGCCAGATCCTAAGAAGTAACACTGAAGGTGAAGTTCTGGGTTCCTGTTGCCTTGTCTAGTGATTTTTTTTCCTGCCCTAATGATTGAAGATATGAACTTAAATAAGGATTTACAATCAGCTTTCTTTAATTTGCAAACTTCTCACGTGCTAAGGATATAATAAGATGCATGCAGTTGGTCTCCAGCCTTCTCTAGGTTCCTTGGCGCCAGCAGCCCTCCCTCCCATCTCTGGCCTCTCCGCCCTGGACCTGCAGCCGGCAGCCTGGGGAAGGAGGGCAGTCCTGCCACGGTGCACGCCCAGGCCCCGCCTTCTCACAACTGGAAACGCCTAGACTTAGGAAATCTCCGCATGCTCCTGGTCCACCAAGCCCTCAGTTAGTCCCCTGACCCGAGAGTGCCTGCCAAACTCCGACAACAACAGCAAAAGGCAACACAAAGGCCCAGGGTTTGACCAACGGGACAGTCAGAGTTTCCCCTGCAGTTAGCAAGGCTCTGTTTACACATTCTGGAGACGAGAGGGTTTTGCAATCCCCACGAAGAAAAGGGAATCTTTGATGTGTCTTTTCATTTGGCCCAAAATGGATTTAGTAAAGTCACATTTCCCAGCTAGCCCACTAAGAAACTCGGCAGCACCTGAGGGTGAATTCCTATATCTAATTAAAGTAGAGGGCTTTTGGGAAGTTCCCCCTCACTGCCCTTCAAGGACATAGCAGGGAGGGGAAAACCACTGGTATAGAAATCCTCAGTGTGAATGATCTCTCTTTCAGCATGAAAACCTTGACATCCCTCTTTGGTTATTGGAGGTCAGGGCTGGATGAGCAAACTGCTTTGTATGAGCAAAGTGGCAGGATTCAGAGCATGTAGAACAGAGTGGGACTGAGCTCCCAGCAAACTGCAGGACCACCTGAGTTGGTGGCAGCTGGAACCTCCTGGGAGTGGGAATGACAGGATGGTAAGAAGTTACTTGTTATACTTTCAAACCTGCAGTCAAAGTGGCTGTGCAGATGGCCCTGTGCCAATGGTGCTAGATGGTGTCTAGCAAAATCAAGAAGATGAGATAACGCAGAAGCAGGGAGTGGGAGTCAGTGGTGCCTGGGAGAAACCACAGGGATTGGGGAGGTTTGCTGGCTTCCCATAAGGAGGAAGTTATATTTAAATCTGAAAGGATGTGGTGGCCCCAGACGTCCAGTTGGCTGGCGCTGGAGTCATACAAGTGGCAGCACATTCCTTCGAGGGCAGAGGCCCGCTTTCTGACCTGCTTGTCCTCAGGCAGACCTGGGCGTGCCCTCAGGCACAGTCCTGCTCCAGTGAGGAAGAATCAGCTGTGGAATATGAAGTCTGTGCTCTTACTTCGTTAGCTCATAATTGGACTTCTCCCATGCTATCCTCAGACCCTGAACTTCTCCATCTTTCCCAACACGCCAGGCTTTTGCACAGCTCCATGGTTCAACAGTCAGGGTTCCATGTACCTGGGGAACCCTTCCCCCACTACTTCTACCTGCCCTTTAAGATGTAGTTCAAATGTAACCTATTCTGCCCCAGACTCCCTGGCTCCCCAGAGCATTCGATGCTCCCCTCTGTGTTTCTACAGCTCCTTGTATTGAGCTCTACTCACTCGACAATATTTAATTGCTAGTTATTAAGCAACCAGACAGGTACAAGGGGAGAGGTCTCATACCCCGGGGCCACCTCACTCCTGCGTGGACACTGCACTTGACAACTCTACAGACTTGACGTGAATAGTGGGCCTTGGAGTTGTGTGCATGGTGGCCATCCAGGCCTCAGCTGACAAGTTCTTTAACATTCCTGCCTGTCTGATATCCACTTGCCAGGATAGCCGGATGGCTAGTTTGATCCAAGTGGGCTCTCGACCTCCATGAAAGTACCAATGGGAACTAGTCAGGAAAAGGAAACAGAATGAGCCCAAGGCAATAGTTTTTGAATTAACTTAAAAATTCACTGAACTGGAGCACATCTTCAACCCATCTGCTAAGCCCCAGATAGTGCCCAACTGAGGCCATGTAGTCGTCCATTTCTTCATCAAGCAACTGCCATTGAGCCCACACCACTTGCTGGCACTGTGTTACATTTCGACAAAAATCAAGAGACTGCAGCTGTCAACAGTATTATTTACATTTATAGAGGAGTGGGTTGTGTGAAGGCAATGACAGGAATTCAAGGACGAAGGCTATAGAAACTCCCAGGTCTGGAAGGCTTTAAAATAGAACTGGTTGGACCGTCTCATCTGGTCCTTGGAGATAAAGCAGGGAGAGCCTTCACAATGTCAGTCTTAGAGGCGAACTCCTGGGAGTGAATTGACAAGTCGGAAAAATCCAGCAAGACTTCTGTTTGCAAATACAAAAAATTCCA